AGAATTGCCTAAGCCCAAGAACTGGAGGTTGCTGTGAACTATGATGCCACGGCACTCTGCTGAGGGTGACAAAGTGAGACTCTGTCTCTAAAAATAAAAGAAAATAAAGCCTGGGTTCAAATCACTCATCCATCTTCCACTGGCCATGCGACCTTGGAAAAAATAATGAACCCCTCTGGGCCCCATTTGCCTTATCACAAAAAATAATAACAGTGACCTTGGCAGGGAGTTGTAGTATCAGCAATTGAGTAAATAAATTCCTGTGGCATGGTAGATGCTCGGAAAATACCTAAATGAAAGGATGAACCCAATGTATGTTTTCTACCCATCCAATGAATAGATTAATAGCAAATCCTTCAGTGAAATGTGCATGGAATGAATCGCTGATTTACAGAGTTTGTACTTTATCTGAATGACTCACAGTGAGTACATCTATACTAATGGGAAGTAGACAGCTCTCAGTTTCTCTCGTGTTCCTTTTTTAGTTCCATGAAGTGAGAAAACACATCTACTGAGAGCCTTGCATGCTCCAATTTTACATGCCTCCTCTTTGAATCCTTAGCCTAAAAGTGAGGTAGACTTTTGCTAGATTTTTAGGATAAGAAAAATTGCCATCCACAGAGGGGGCAGCCAAATCAAGCTTGGAGTCAAGGGTGAAGCTAAAGGACCTTTCCCGACTTATTTCTACATCCTGCCCCTGTTCAACTTTAATTATAAACTGTAAGGCAACTTCCAATTCGTAAATTGGAATTATTTCCAGTAACTTCCTTGCATCAGCAGCAGGCAAAGAGGAACAAGACGAGTGAGCGGTAAGATTAAAATTGTTGGCATCTGATTCAGGTGTATCTTCTGCAATCCTGTCCATTCACTCACCTGCTCACAAGCATTTATTGAGGACCTCCTGCATTCTGAGCGGGTGGGGGCCGCTTTTGTAACCCAACCTTAATGTTCCAAAATGCATGGGGGTTGGAGCTGGTGGTCACCCAATTATCAATCCAAGGGAAGGCTAAAAGTCAAGAGGGGGGAGGGAAGGGCTGGCAGAGGAGCCGGTCAGGTGACACAGGTGAGTGTGCGTGGTCTTGCCTACCCACTGCTATACAGCACCGTTCACTGCCCAGGCCACTCGAGTGCCTGGCTCATACGAGTGCCAAAGGGAGTGGCAGCCTCTCTCAGGGACCAACTATTGCCAAAGCTAAAAACATTTTTTAAAAAAATTAAAACTCTAAGGAACAACTACAAGCTACGTGCCAAATCTTTCTTACTCACACCCCATTTCTGAGAATTACAAGATGACAACGTCTTTAATGGTAAACTAGTGAGCGTCTCTGTTTCTTACAATGATGGCTGATAATTTGCTTTGAACATGGAAAGCAGAAACAGGGAAAATAGTAGCTTACGTGGCCTTGGCATCTTTGGTAAAGAAGACACATTCTCGTTTCTTAAAGTTTGCTTGAATAAAATTCACAAAGTCCTTTGGAGAGAGAACATTGGATGATACATTACTAACTTATTCTCATTCCCACTGACATTAATAAATTCTAAATAAGATCTAATCCCACTTCAAAGGCTTTAAGAATTTACCATGTATGTCTTCATAGTATCCAGAATTTGTCCATGCTTTTCGGGTACAAAAAGTTCTTTTTTTTAAGAGGCATACATTTAAATTTTTGTAACTAAATTCAAATTTTCCCAAAAGTTACGTGGAGTTATCTTGTGTAGAAATGGCATTATACACACACATTGTGTTTTCCTGCCTCCAAGGCTACCAGGGGGAATATAAGTATTGGATAGTTTTTCATAAATAATAAATCCATGCAGATTCCCAGTCCCTCGCATGCTTGCTTTTTAAAAGATGTGTTCCAAAACCTCCTTCCAGAGCTGTCTTTGGCCTCCCCGAGGCACAGTGCTTAGGCACACCTGGGACCCAGTTCTGACAAACCAAAAGCTTCCCTAAGTGGGCAGAAACACACTATCTGGAAACAAATGAAAAAGTGCTTTGAAAATACCTTCAGTCCTCAGAGTGGGAGGAGATATTTGCAACATACATTAGACATCATAGGATCGGTAACCAGACTATATAAGAACTATAAACTGGTATGAATAAGATAGATGACCCAATGGGAAAAAAGGGCAAAAGAGCAAACATTGACTAAAAGACAATAACCCAGAAACACATGAAAAGAAGCTCAGTCAGACACAAGTATTATTAATGAGGCAAATAAAAAGTAAAACCACAATGGGATCCCATTTCTCACCCTCCAGGTTGGCAAAAATTAAAAAGGCAATTAACACTCAACACAGGTGAAGGGAGGGCATGGGAAAACTGGTACAACTGTTCCAGAAAAGTGACTACTATTGTCAATAAAGTTATCTCCCTGAGGATTCGTCCTTTGTCTAGAGAGGTAGGACTGTTCCGTGCTGTTCCGTGCACGACCTGCACACTCAGAGAGCCTGCGGTGAGCTTCCCACTTCCCAGGGCTGCATGGGGCTTCCCTTTCCAGCAGCCCAGTGCCACTTCCTGCAGGTCGCCAGGGGCTGGCAGCTGGAGTGCTCAGGTAAGTTCACACATAGTCGGCCTCTAGACAAGGTGCTGGCACCAGAGCTAGCCCTGACTCCTTCTTCCTGACTGCAAGGCTGTCACCAGGGGATCCCCCTCCTGGAATGAAGTGCAGGGTGTCTCCACCTCCCTGTCTACCCCCACCCCTGCAAGACAATGGGGCCCATGTGCCAGCTCTACCAGATCCTTTGGACAGGTTTCCCCATAAATCCTGTGTCTTAAACCGAGGCCTTAAAAAAGAGAGATATTGACTGCCATCCACCCGGCCTCAACCCAGAGAAGCTTTCCTGGGGAGACCCAGCTTACACCTCCAAGAATGTTAAGACGAGTATTGTTCCTAATAGAAAAACCAGAAACCCAAATGCCCACCCCCTTAGGCCAGATAAATAAAAGCACACATGGGCTACATAGAGAAATTGATCAACATCTGTCCCACCTAGCAACAAGTGAGTGTTAAGCAAAAAAAAAAAAAACCACTTATAGTATAATTCCATGTACATCAAAAACAGATAAAACCAAAACATATTGCTTAGAAAAATAGATATTCAAGTCATAAAATTATAAATAAAAGCAAAGAATGGGTAACACAAAATTCAGTGTGATGGCGAGAGAGGAAATCCAACAGGGAGGGCGTGTGGGAGATTCTGAGTGCCGACACTGCCCTGTTCCCCAGGCTGTGGTGCATGTGAAGGCATTCATTTTAACACTCTTCTTGAAGCTGGAAACTTACATTTATACATTCTTTTCTATATTTGTATATTTCACCACAAACACATAGAAAAAAATAGCTTTTACACCTACCTGTACACAAAAATTTTGAAAATCTGTGGGCCATTTTTCCTCATGGATTTTTTTATCCACTTAACTAATTTTGAGTCTACTTAACACAAATGAAGGAAAACTCAACAGCTTTGTAAGCTTGTGAAACCAATAATCGTGGAGGAAGAGTGGTGATAACAAAAATCGCTTTGTTGCTGGAAATTCCTTCTGAAAATGCACTCTGCTGAGATGTAGACACTCCAGGGCAAAAAGAACCCCCCAGAACCACGATGCCTTTGGATGGTCTCAGCACCTCAACAGGTTCCCATGAGGCCACCAGCATGGGGATAAGATGACCTGCAGGGGCTGGGGGAGGCCCAGGTGCTCGCCAAAAGAATCAGGCCCAGGTGCTCGCCAAAAGAATCTCCGGGGGCACTGATGCCTGAAGCCAGAGGGACCCATCTGCAAAGGGCTCCCCAATGATGCTTCATTGCTTGGGGTGGGAGGAGGAAAGAGGGGGAGAAACATGGGCGAAGCCTCCAGTTCCCTTTGCCCACTATTTGGTGCTCACAGGCCCCGGGTGCAGGTAAACCTGGGGAGGCGCTCAGCCGGGAGTGTAGGTGTAGGGGGAGCCCTGAGAGAGGCCTCCGTAAACTTTGTGCAGGAGGGGCCTCACTTGCCTAGTCACAAAATCAGTCCCTATGTAATCCCCCAATGGGAACAAAATGCTGACCAGCACCCTGGAGCCGCCCACCGTCTTCCCTTTCTCTCCAGTGCTAGCCTCTGGCCCAACTTGCAGCAGTATTTGACAGGGAATTTGGGTCATCTTAGACTGGAGGGTCATCTTAATTTCCTGACAAACAAGTGTGAGTGTGGGCAGGAAACCTGTGGAAGGAACTTTGCCCGGTGTCAGCAAGGCCAGGGCAGGGAGAGGCAGAAGGTCGGAGGAGACCACCTCCTGCTGACACCCCCACCTGCGTCCTGCTGGTTTAAGAAGCCTTAACAGGGCACATCTGTGTCCTGAAGCTACAGGGAGGCTGGCTTGGGATGAGCAGAGAGGCTGTTCCGAGAATGAATGCGGGTGGACCCGAGCTGAGACCTGCCCCCAGGGCTGGAGAGGGGACTGAGATCCGGGACTGAGATCCAGGACTGAGATGGAGAGCCGGGCAGCAGCATGGAACAGTGAAATAAGTGTCAAGGGCACAACAGCTCCAGCTTCTCGGAGTCCGTTAGCAAATGCATTATGTAACTGGTTTTAAAGTTATAGCCTCTAAGACTGGTGACACGTGTGACTCACACTCTCACTGCAGGACAGGTCTGTGCTCCGTGACATGCTGGAGTACAGGGTCTGGGTGACACGTGTGACTCACACTCACTGCAGGACAGGTCTGTACTCCGTGACATGCTGGAGTACAGGGTCCGGGTGACATGTGTGACTCACACTCTCGCTGTAGGACAGGTCTATGCTCCGTGACATGCTGGAGTACAGGGTCCGGGTGCTGTCCAAGGTCCCATTTCTTCTCTTCCTCATGCTCAGCCTGGCAGCCTCAAAGGACATCTCTCCTGTGGAGATGGGGCAGGGGATAAGTCTGGGTTACAGGCAGTGAAAGCACTTCCTCAAAGCTTCGCCCCTCTGCTCCCTTCTCTCCACCCTCTCCTCTGCCATGTGCAGTGTCCTGTGCTCTGTCCTGCCCACCAGGGACACTGTGCCCTTGCCCATAATTGCTGTTTGTCCTCCAGGTCCCAGCTAGAGGGTCCTCCCCAGCGCGTCTTCCCTAGTTCCCACCCCTGCCTGGGTCAGGATCCCCTCCTGGGAGCAGCATGAGGGGTGCCAGGTCACAGCCACCCAGCCCTGAGGGGACAGGCTGGGCAGTCTGCATCACGGAGCCACAGGCACATGTGGTTTGCAGTAGCTGTTAGCTGAGGTAAAGAGTTTGGAGAAGAGCAGATTTGCAGAGCAGACTGTAACTAGCAGCTTGTTCGGCCAGAGGACAGGCCTTGGGTGGGTGAGAGGAATCCTGCACCTGCTCCCAGTAAGTGAAGCAGGAGAAGGATGTTGACCAACTGGGCTGAGGGGGCTGGGGGGCAGCATGCTCCAAGTCACCCCAAGGACACCCAGCACATCCTCTTGTTAGCCTGAGCATTACAGGAAGTCATGTCCATGCAGACACTTCCCCAGGTCCTTGCTCTGCTCTTCTCACTGTGACACTCCCATCCCACCCTCCAGGGGTCCCTTCCTCTCCTGTCTCCCAGACTCTAACTTAGACCCACACCCCAAGCTCTGGACAAAATCCCCTACTACCTCTGGACCTCCAGTGCAGTCCGCAGACAGGGAACAGGAGCATCATCCTTCCCTGTGCCTTGCAGAGTCCCCTCCTCCTGGCTCCAAGCCCCTTCCTCTCTGTCTCCACCATGTCCTGGTCCCAATTCCTCCTCCTGGCCCCTCCCAAGGCTCTTCAATTGCCAGCACCTGCCACCCAGGGTCCTTCTTGCCTCCCAGCCCAATAGTGCCCCCTGAACCCTGCTCCTCCCTGGGACCCTGCCTTTCTCATCTGCAGTGCCCCCTCTGTCCAGAACCCCTTCCCAGACCCCTCCAGCTGGGCAGCTCCTACTCAGCCTCCAGGCTCAGCTCACACATCGCATCTTCAGGGAGACACCCCATGCCTGCGCCCTGTGCCTGCAGCTCTGCTACCTTCCTCCAAGCATGGGCATCATGACCTGTGTAATGATCTGTTTGGCCCCGTAACTAGCCGAGGCCAAGAACCAAGTCTTTCTGGTTCACCAGACTTTGGGGCCTGGTGTAGTGCTGAACAGCTGCATGATATTTATTGGGGGAGTCATTTGAATGAATAGATTTCCCCTTGAAAATTCCCCTTTGGTTCCGGTCGTAGGCGCTAAGGCAGTCGCGGGTCGCGGTGCAGACATGGCCAAGTCCAAGAACCACACCACACACAACCAGTCCAGAAAGTGGCACAGAAATGGCATCAAGAAACCCCGATCGCAAAGATATGAATCTCTTAAGGGGGTAGATCCCAAGTTCCTGAGGAACATGCGCTTTGCCAAGAAGCACAACAAGAAGGGCCTGAAGAAGATGCAGGCCAACAATGCCAAGGCTGTGAGTGCACGTGCTGAAGCTATCAAGGCCCTTGTAAAGCCCAAGGAGGTTAAGACCAAGATTCCAAAAGGTGCCAGCCGTAAACTCAGTCGCCTTGCCTACATTGCCCACCCCAAGCTTGGGAAGCGTGCTCGTGCACGCATTGCCAAGGGTCTCAGGCTCTGCCGGCCAAAGGCCAAGGCCAAGGCCAAGGCTAAGGCCAAGGATCAAACGAAGGCCCAATCTGCTGCTTCATCTGCAGCTCCAGCTTCAGTTCCAGCTCAGGCTCCCAAAGGTGCCCAGGCCCCCACAAAGGCTTCAGAATAGAGGCATCTGTCTGCCACGAGGACAAAAGGACTGGTGTGACCTCTAGGCTGCTGTCTGTATGGGGCTGGGGTCCTCCTGTGCTATTTGTACAAATAAACCTGAGGCAGGAAAAAAAAAAAAAAAAAAAAAAAGAAAATTCCCCTTTGGTTTGCAAACTACTTGCATGTCACCTTCCACACCCCTGGGTGCATAACGTCCAGGGCACAGAACAGACTATCGCTCAGCCCCACCCTGCTCCTGGCCCCTCACCCAGTGGTCCTAATGCCGTCCAGATCACCCAGTGGCCCAGACTCCTCTGTCCCAATTGCCCATTCCAGGCCAGATGGAAGATTCTGACATGCGACAGAAACTGGATGCTTTTAAATCTGCTCCATCTCACCAAGATGTGGAAACAACTCAAGTGCCCAGCAACTCACAAATGGATAAATCAACTATGGTATAAGTATACATGGCTTCCTATTCAGCCATAAAGAAAGACAGAGCTTTTACATCTTTTGTACTTACCTGGATGGATTTGGAGAACATTCTCCTAAGTATCACAAGAATGGAAAAGCAAGTATCCAGAGTACTCAATGCTAATATGAAACCAGAAGATGAACAACCACACACCCACACAAGAGAAAAACACAATTAAATTCAAGTTGGGGGAGGGGAGGCCGGAGGAGGAGAGGGAGGGGTGTGGTGAGCTGTCACCTAAAGGGTCCAATTTAGGGGCATACGGTGCACCTCTGGGGTGAAGCGCTCAACTTAGCTCAGTTAACAAATGCAAACAAGGTAACCTCATCCTTTGTACCCACATATCAATCTAGGAAAAAAACAAAACAACCTGCTCCAGATGGTTGATCCAGACAGTTTAAATAAAACAACGAGCATTTCTTTTACTTCTCTCCCCAGGCATTTCAAAGAGAAGCTCAGACTATTAATTGGTACTTTACATACATTATTGCAAAACCGCAAATCAATCCTGCCAGGCCTTCTCTGTGATTCCCATACGGCAAATTGGTTGTAAGTAGAGCTCCAGTGGTCAGGAAGTAACTTTGCCTCAAAATGAAAAACTGCTTATTTCTCTCATTGCAACAGAACAAGGGTGTTTTTGCTTTTGAATCACATTCCCATGAACAAGAGAAGGGGAAGGGAGTAAGAAAGGTGTGCCCTGCTCCCAGGTTACAAACACCTTTGTTACTTATTGGTTCCTAAATGGTTCCCTGAGGCATTTAAGGCAAAAGATCAAGGGTTAGGCATGCTCTGCGAAGTCCTACCAATCATTACAGGCATTCTCTACAAAGTCCTACCAATCAGTTACGGGTTAGGCATGCTCTGCGAAGTC